AACTGGACCTGGAGCTGGAGAATAATGTGTTACTCAAACTCCCATCAATATTTTTTAGATCAAATTGAACTTAATCAGTTAAACTGATTGAATAAATACTCTTAATAAAATAAATACTAATTTATCAATCTGTGCTTTGGAAGACTTGTAGAATGTTGGATGCTCTGATTTTCATCTCTGTGCAAAATACGGAAAAAATATGTAATTTAACTGTAGTTTGTGTGTGTTCTCTTGTGTGTGAGCATGTTAAGAAAAGATTTCCTAAACCACCCTCCTCTCCGGCACTTGTTTATCTCTTCAGCTTAATGATAGTGTTCCTCATACTAGCTTGATTGCATAGTAGCTCTGGAGTAGATTGCACAGTTCTATCACTGCAAATGACCAGTATTTGAACAGTGAGCATTTGGCATGCTTTTATTTATGTGGGATCTAGAAAGGCTATCTTTAGATGAGTCAGCCACTTTCTCAGTTCCTTTGTTGTCCTTACTGATCAAACATTTCTATGGAGTTTCAATGCACATATGTATAGCCCTTAAACGTGTCCTTGCATTTTGAGGACACATCTCCAGGGAAATATGCAATGCATATCTGGATGCACAAAGACCCACTGCGTAGATCTATTTTGGGGGTTTTAGGTCGCTCACAATAGCACCCCCATGTGTTTGTTCAGCCTCTCATTTGAGCTGTAAAGGTCAGGGCATGCAAACATCACATCCAGCTCATTGTTGGTAAGAATGCCTGATCCTTCAGGCTTCTCTAGTACTTGCACATGTTAAAGAGAGCAGAAAACCAGACGTATATTTGGCACTTCAGGTACTTTTTTGTGTCTGGCATTGTTCCCCTTGTCTTGAGCCTCTGCCCCGATGACTAGTTGGAAAGAGAAGATATGTTTTGTGAAGAAAGTTTTTCCATGGTTTTCAGGTAATGGTTCAGCTATGCAACAGTCAGGAATACCTGACCACATGACCAAGTCCTTGTACTGTAGTTCTGGCCCGAGAATAAACAGAGAGAAAAATGCTTTGTCTGTGATGTCCGCAGCAGCTTTTGTTCAAATGTCACTGCACATAGATGCAGCATGGGCTTAAGAGGGAGAAAGAGAAAGCTGGGTCAAGAGAGACACAGAGGGGGAAGTGGAAGAGGGATAAAGTAGAAGAGGCCGAGATAAGAGAAAGGGAGGTGTGAACATGTGATAAAGAGCAGAACAAAGTAGTAGTTCATCTTGTCGATCAGAGGCTGGATCTTGCGCACACGTTCTTGGTTGTCACGCACACGTGCGCGCTTTTGAAACACATGGCCACAAACATAATCTTCTTGGTGACACAGGCATGTACAAAAGAGAAACACAGAAAAACATGTACACACACACACACACACACACACACACACACACACACACACACACACACACACACACACACACACACACACACACACACACACACACACACACAATCCACAAGCTTACCCCCCTTCGTCCTCCACCCCCCAGAGGGCTGCACTGTCCCTGCTTTGTCATCTCTACTTGTCCAATAATCCCCTCCCCAGGGAGAAGCAATCTGTTTTAGATTTGAAAGAGAAAGGGCCCTGCCTGTATCACGTACAATTAAGCAGCCGTCAGAATGCGTCGGCGTAAGTTTGGAGGGAGAAGTGCTGCCACTGGGGGGTTGTCCCTTTCATCCACCGCCTTTCCAGAATGGAGATAATGGGGTAGGAGGGTTGGAGGGATGGGAATAGATGGGATGGGGGCAGAAGGAATGAATACATTTCCTCACCCCTCCATCCCGCTCCACAGCTCAACTAATAGAAGCCAGCATGCGTTTGTTTCAGCTCTTCTGCTCCTTTTCTTCCTTTCTCCCCTGGAGCGGGCAAACACATTCAGCCTCTGCCAGCACTCCCCTCCTCTGCCCGTGTGTGTGTGAGTGTGTGTATATGTGTGAGTGCACAAACACTTCTATGTGTGGACTTGGCCATGTGCTACTGGTAGCCTCTGGTCCTGTTTGCCCTTACTTGAACAGCCCCACTTTTTCATGTGGATGCAGAATGGATATTTGAACAGTTGTAGTATTAAAGGTTGAACAACTTTGTTTATACTGATGAGGTCCAGCATTGCAAGACACACATTATCTTCGCTTCGCTTTTCTTGAATTGCCTGCGGCAAGTTCAGCTGAGTTTGGCGGGTGTCTCTTGAACATGTTGGGATGATGTTTTGCCTGCATTCCTTCAACTTTGGCTCAAATGTAAAGGAATGGCAGCATGTGGAGGGGTAAGCTTAATGTTTTATGCTTCGTGAGATAATTAGTCTGTCTGTATTTAGATATTTTACAATACAGCAAGATCAGGAATTATTGCCAGACAGGATAAAGTTAATCAGATTACAAATGACGTTACTGCATGCTTCGGAAAGCCACACACTGAGCCAGAGGCAATGGAAAGGAGAGCTCCCCTGTGTACAAATTACAGGTTACGTGTCTGTCTGTGTTCAAGTCTGTCTGATTCTTAC